TAATCGACCACGCTATACAAATCATGGTAGGATATTATTTCCAAAGACATGGAACAATGTCTATCAAAGTGATTTCTTTTTCTCTTGACCTATGCGTCTATATCTTTAAGATAATTATTCAAATGTAGTAATCCTAAATGATGGCAATTTGGTTTATTTTACATTTCAATTGATTTCACATTGAGCTTTGGGAATAAGGGATTTACTAATCAGACGGAGAAATTACTCAGAGCCGGAGCTGATATATTTGTTGATGTCAGGAGGCCGCCGCCAGTGATACCCATTGACAAGACACAGACATCTGACACAAACCATCAGATAATTTTCATCCACCTCAGTCTCAGATTATGTGTGTTGGTAAATCCCTTGCCATAAATAGGCATTCATGTTTAGTCGATTCTGTAAAATTGAACGTTGCAGTTAATTCGAAAATGAAAGAAAAGAACATCCCCTCACCGTTCCCCCCCCCCCCCCCCCCCCCCCAACCCCCACCCCAATTACCGGATAGTTTGTGTACGTCAGAGAACAAAAATATATTGTCCCCGAAATTGCTTAAATAAATGTATGCTTCGGACTGTTGAGAATATTGATGTCAAAAGATTGGCAGTAACTGTTGCTGGCAATGATGGCTAAACTGGTTATGGGACATAATACTTTGTTCTTTTGACTTCGAACATATGGACTTTTCGGAGACAAGTAAAGCATTTGGATCGAAGAAAGGTGCAAAGGCAACTTTATCTGTTTGATTTCCTTGAATAAAATAGGTGAGTGAGTGAGTTAATATTTAACGTCACATCGGCAGTATTTCAGCCATATCGTGACGAGAACTGACATAAAATACAAAAATTTGAATGGAGTAAATACCTGTCATCGAAGGACAGTAAAAATAACTAGAGTATCACAGTTGTGATTTTAAAACTAGTTGAGAGCTTTAAAAAGAATACATTTTCAATCAACAATACAATATAAAAATGGGCTATAGATCACCAGCAACCAAAGTTAGGCCACCGTACTGGGGACTGTGGGGACTTACAATACTTTTGCTACCTGCACGACTCCCCAGCAGGATTTACACCATCCCTTCAGCCGCTGGTGATTATATGCAATTTAGCCAACACTTAAAATAAACAAATATTCTACGTCTAAAACTGTGGCAAGAATAAATGTACTTTGAATGATGTGGTCTTACATATCCTCTCTGGGGGACAATAATTTTACGTTACTTCAACCCCCTTCAAGGATACAGCCACTAACAATCTCAGTCATCAACTTTATTTTACCAATTATAAAAACTATATTATATACAAAACATATCAATCAAAATTTATGTAACAATTCAATTTCTTTTAAAAAAGCAAGAATTAAACGAGCATTGATACTAAAAAGATCCTTTAAGGATGAAACTTTGAAATATTTATCCCTTGTGATGGAAAAATCAACACAATCAAGCAGGACATGCTTGACGGTGATTCTCACATCACAAGGGATACAAAATGGAGGATCCTCACCTTTTAAAAGATATTCATTTGTATATCTTGAATGGCCAATACGACATCGTCGCATAATGACCTCTTCAAACCTGGACTGACAGCCCAAGTAGGTGTAACCGATATTTGGTTTAATTTCATGTAATTTATTTATACCCACTTGGGTGTCCCACTTCTTCTGCATTAGATCTCTGATATAACATCTAACAACAGGTTTATAATCACTGTAGGGTAGAAGAAGTGGTGTCACAGATTTGTTGAGTGCTGCTTTTGCAGCAGCATCAGCCATTGTGTTACCTACGATTCCTACATGGCTGGGTAACCAACAGAAAACGATGTCGTATTGGCCAGTAGCTAGATCATTGTATAATTCGACAATTTCGAGCAAAAGTGGATGTGTGCTGGACATATTGTGAATAGCCTGAAGACATGAAAGAGAGTCTGAAAATATTATGAACTTCTTATGCTTCGATTGATTTTGAATGTATTTAAGAGCTGTTAAGATGGCGTGTGCTTCTGCCGTGAAAATTGAACTGTCATGTGGCAACCTGGACGATATTGTTCTGGTTCCAATGACAGTAGCGCTAGCAACTGCGTCACCATCCTTGGATCCATCTGTAAAAATAGATTTGTATGTATCATATTTAGTTCTCAGTTGATGGTATTCTTGTTGATAAATTAGGGGATTAGTTTGTGATTTCTTTAGTTGTGTGAGTGTCAGGTCTACTACGGGCTTTATAAGTTGCCAAGGAGGTGAAGACAAAAGGCGGTAAGGAGAAATATTTTCAAGGTGTAAATTTGCATCAGAAATTGCAGTTTTCAACCTTATTCCAAGAGGGGGAATAAGAGAAGATTTCTTTGGGTAGAGGTCTTCATATAGGGGGTGAAAAACGCAATCATATGCAGGGTTTGACTGATTTGAAGATAATTTGGTAATATACTGTAAAGATAATTTTAGACGTCTTAGTTTTAGTGATGGTTCATCAGCCTCTACATATAAACTGTTAATTGGAGAAGTTCTGAAGGAGCCAAGGCAGAGCCGTAGTCCTTGGTGATGTATAGAATCCAGAATTTTTAGATTGCTTTTGCAAGCACCCCCATAAACGATGGAGCCATAATCCAGTTTAGAACGTATGAGAGATCTATATAGTTGGAGGAGGGTCTTCTGATCACCTCCCCACTTTGAATTGGAAACGACTTTTAACACATTGAGTGCCTTCAGGCATTTAGCTTTAAGGTATTTGATATGGGGTTTAAATGTCAAATGGCTATCAAAAATAAGTCCCAGGAATTTGGCTTCCTTTACAATTTTGATAGGTGTGCCATCCAAATACAGTACAGGGTCTGGATGTGGTTTATATTTGCGACAAAAATGTATACAATTTGTCTTGGCTTTAGAAAATTTAAAGCCATTTTCAAGTGACCATCTTTGAATTTTATTAAGACATAACTGCAATTGTCTTTCAATTGAATGCATATTTTTACCACAACAAGATATGTTAAAATCATCCACGAAAAGCGACCCATCTATGGAATCATTTAAGACCTTAGACAGGCTATTTATCTTAATACTAAATAGTGTAACAGACAAGATACTGCCTTGTGGGACACCCTGATCCTGATTATAATGATCAGACAGGGTTGAGCCCACGCGGACTTGAAATTGTCTGTCAGTTAAAAATTTGGATATAAATTGAGGCAAACGGCCTCTCAATCCAAAATCGTGTAAGTCCTTTAAAATACCATGTTTCCATGTAGTGTCATATGCTTTTTCGAGATCGAAAAAGATAGACACTGCATGTTGTTTGTTTATGATGGCATTTTTAACAAATGATTCTAAACGTACTAAATGATCAATTGTACTTCTATTTTTACGGAAACCACATTGAATATTTGTAATTAGGTTATTGGTTTCTAAGTACCAAACTAGGCGATTATTGATCATGCGTTCCATGGTTTTGCAAACGCAGCTGGTCAATGAAATTGGACGATAATTTGAAGGATCAGTATGATCACGTCCTGGCTTAGGTATTGGAACAATTATAGCATCTCGCCATGAGGATGGAAATTCACCTGATGTCCAGATTTCATCAAAAATTAGTAGAAGGGTTTCTAAACATGAGTCTGGTAAATGTTTGAGGAGTTGATAATGTATATTATCAGCTCCTGTAGCAGTATCGTGTGCTTGTCCAAGAGCAGTATGAAGCTCATGGATTGAAAATATTTCGTTATAATCTTCCCCATTATTTGATTTAAAATTTATGATTTTCGTTTCTTGCAGTTTTTGGTATTTTTGGAATTTAGGCACATAGTTAGAGGAAGAAGAATGTTTTGCTAATGTTTCACCAAGTTTATTTGCAATTTCCGATTTATCAGTCAATAGTTCGTCTCCATTTTTAAGGTGATGTATGCTAGATTTAGAACCTTTACCTTTAATTTTCTGGATCATGTTCCATACCTTAGACATGGGCGTACGAGAATTTATCTTGGAAACATAATTTTGCCAAGATTGGCGTTTATTTTGTTTAAACGTACGTCTGGCTTTAGCATTTAAAATTTTAAATTTATTCAAATTATGTACCATTGGATGGCGACGGAAGTAGTGTTCAGCCTTTTTCCGTGCCTTCCTAGCTTGTTTGCAGTCATCGTTAAACCATGGTTTACGAATGTGAGGATTTGTAGAGGACTTAGGAATACAGTCATCAGCGATTTTGTTTAATTCATCAGAAAATAATTGTACAGGGTCAGTAGCATCAAGAAACAGATCAGGTTGTAACTTTTTGGATGCAAGTATTTCGAATAAAGGCCAGTTAGCCTTAGAAAAGTTCCATCTTGTTGAAGGAGGAACATCGGAAGGTAAGACGGGTTTTAAAATGGTTGGGAAATGATCACTTCCACAGAGGTCTTCATGGACGGACCATTCAAATTCGTTTAATAATTCAGAATCTGTTACTGACAAATCGAGAGCAGAGTAGGTACCTGCACCGGGATGCAGATACGTATTTGAACCATCATTATGGATACAAAAATCGTTGCTGGAAATGAAATCTTCCAAAAGTTTTCCCTTGTTATTAGTCTGAACACTACCCCAAAGTGGATTGTGTCCATTTAAATCGCCCATGATAATACAGGGCTTTGGGAGTTGATCATAGAGAGCTTGAAGTTCAGACTGTCGGAGAGAAGAAGATGGTGGAATATAGAGTGAGCACAATGTAAACACAATGTGCAGAGTCACACGGACTGCAACAGCTTGAAGGGGGGTTGCAAGATGGACGGGGCTATGGATAACACCTTGTTTTATGAAGATTGAAGAGCCTCCAGTGGCCTTAGCACCAGGAGGTGAAAATACATTGTAGGAGGAATAACCTCGTATATCAAATGTGTCGGTTTCTTTGTAGTATGTTTCTTGTAAACATAACGCTGATGGTTTAAAATCTTGAATTAAGAGTTGTAAATCGTTATAATTATTCCTAAGTCCTCTACAGTTCCACTGTATTAAATGTGATGATTGAGTCACGGTGGCTCAATTGGTGAACGCTCACGAGAATGTGAGGAAGAAGAACCCCTTCTGGTCTCTGGAGATGGGGTGACATCCATGTCAAGAGCATCAAAGGGGTTGTTGAGAAAAACCTCTGAAGACGAGGATTTCAAAGGAGTTTGTTTTCTGTTTAATTTTTTTCTTTCTTTTCTTGTCAGAGTAACAACGGCAGATTCGATAGTAGCTGGTTCTACAGCCTCTGGATCTTTAGCAACAGACTCCACACCAGCTTCAGCAGTCAAAGGTTCGGATGGGCCTACTGTTTGAGTGGAAGATGTATGTGAAGTTACTACAGAAGATATGTTAACAGGTTGATCGGATGTAATCCATGTCAAATCTGTCTGGATAGAAATGGATGTTTTTGTAGGATTTGCAGGAGTAGCGATAGCTACAGCAGCAGAATATGTTCTGGTTAGTGGAGTTTGTGGAGATTGATTTTCAATGAGCTTCTTAGCCTCGTAAAACGAGATATTGTTCTCATGTTTGAGCTTCAGGATTTTTGTCTGTTTTTGCCATTCAGGACATAACTTTGATGAAGCCAGATGTGTTCCTTTGCAGTTGGCACATTTCACTTCAGCCGTGCAGTCAGTGTTGTCATGGCCTTCGCCACAGCGCTGACAGACTACAGAGTGATTGCAAAATTTAGAACCATGTCCAAACTTTTGGCACTTGAAACAACGGAGTGGATTGGGGACATACACCTCCACTCCGATGTTGAGATAACCAGCTTTGATTGACTTAGGAAGGGCCGAAAGAGCAAATGTAAGCAGATAAGTGTTTGACGGGATGATGTCACCATCTCTCGATTTCATAGTAAAACGCTTAACTGCTGTTACCCCTTGAGTTGTCAGTTCATCAGTAATTTCCTGCTCTGACATGTCGGACAGGCAGCGAGCTCTGTCTCGAACAATGCCTCGGCAAGAATTCAAGGTTTTGTGGACGGACACAGCAACCTCAATATTTGCGAATGTAGTTACAGACAAAAGATTCAGAGATTGCTGTCTCCGTGTACACTCAACGAGAAGAGAGCCACTGCGAAGACGTGTAACATTGTTCACTTCTCCGCAAATTCCTAAAACAGCTTTGGAAATGGCGAATGGATTTAGCTTAATAGGTTGTTTGTTAGCTGCCTCAATCACAATAAAACGGGACCAGGAATCTAAGCCACGAGATAATTGTTCACTTTGATCAATGTCATCAAGATCGACATGTCTTCGTTTGGAACGGGTTGAACCAGGGTTTTGGTGTGACATGGTGAAATATAGTAATTCAGCACCCCTGCTCCCCACCCACCAAGGAGTGCTACAAAGAGCGATGTTTTGTTGCACCGGAACTCCAACATGCAAACACCAGGGATACAGGGATGATATACTCCAGCAAGTATGACGCAAATAGCAATATTTGTATACCAAATTAAATGCCAGGCTGGTTCGGCCCATGACAAGTAATTGGATACATATTGAATTTGGAGGTCAACATCACCAGATTGGCCCATGAGCCACCGCCTTCTGGCGTAAGACTCTAGGCAATTTATATAATCCAAAATAGTTAATTCACACAAATTATGCATGGCCAAGGCCAAAATATACATCAAAATACAACACATGTGTGCATTTACAATATTACGCACAGGGCCTGGCATGACCAGCCGATTGATAAGACCGGGCCCATCTTACCACCCGTCTAGGCGAAGTAAGGGTCGAAGTAGTGTGTTGGGCAAAGGAACACAGTTCCAGGAACCAGTGCCCTCAACTACCAGACTCCCGTCCTCCGCCGACACAGGGACGCAACCCACGGCAAACGGGCTGCCCACTTTGGTCGCCTCTTACGACCAGCAATGGGGTGCTGTGGAAATATTCTACCCCGGTTCCACACGGGGGAAGAGCTATTAGCGCTACCCAGCACTCACCACGAGGAGGTTGCTCTTCACGAGTGCCTGAATAAAATAGGAGTATGTGTACCTAGAAAGCGCATAAATGTAACAACACAGTTCTTGAAAAATATATCATTTATTACAGTGCAGAATACACCTCTCCCAAGCCTTTTGATTACATTCTTGAACAATTTACAGTGTTGTAGGAGAGTAGTAGCAGTAGTTGAGATGAATGTTGGCAGGACTTCCAGTTTGAAAGGGAGTGGATCCTTCTCTGGCATTGTGGTTGTTGGTGTCTTCATCATCCCAAAACATCGTCTCCACTGTCACCGACATCCCAGCGACGCTCTGACACACGCCTGTCTTCATCAGGAGGTAGAAGGGGGCAGATGTTGGCAAGGCTATCTCTTGAGCTGGAGAAGCATCCTCTCGGCAACAATAAAACAGCTTGGTGTCTTTGTTGAACTCACCATCGGGGAGGGTGCTCTGGTCTGAGACATGGTTCATGTTGTAGTTGTTCTCATCATCCCAAAGAAGGGAACCTTCCTGGAAACCTCCTGGGCAGACGCCGTTCTTCCTCAAGATGCAGTAGGTACCGGCCGGCCAACTCCCAGATCTGGCAGTGGTGCCCTCCATGATGCAATAAGTATTTAAATAACCGTCTTTCTTCTTAATTCCGCTCATATTGGTGGTGTTCCAGGTATTTCCGTTGTAATAATCTTCAGTGTCTTGATAGAAAGCTCCATCCTTCCACTCACTACCAGGACAGCCATCGTTGGTCTGAGGCAGAGCAAAGGATCCTTCAGGCCATGTTGTAGGTATTTGTAGTGTAGTCGGGGCTTCAGTGGGGTTGGACGTTGGGGTTTCCGTTGTGTGTCCACAGTCTCGAGCATAGGAGACAGCCAGAACAGCGGTCAGAATGAGAAGGACGTTCATGGTAGTTAGGTAGTCGTAACGGCCTGAGATGAGATCCTGACTGTGGGACTCCTCGAGACTTCAATGATGCTGAGAGAGCCATCTGTAACATTTATACATGGCAGAAACACTGTTTTCGCGTCATCAACAGGTGTATATCATACTTCCGTATTGTGATTGGAAACATTTGATTAATTTAATCATAGCTCAAGGCAGAGTTGCAGATGGTATAACAATGAAAGTTCGTTAATGAATTCGTTACTTACATATTGCAGATTGGTGTCCTTCTGTTCCTATGTATCACAATATAAGTAAATAATTCAGAGAACTGCAATTCCTTTGTCTGTTGAACTCTCTTTATCAGCTGAAATGAAAATATATCGAGAATAATATTCTGTTTTGCGCCTATTTTATAAGATTTGAATAATTTATGACGGCAAAACATCTTATGAATGTATGACGGTTTAAGGAAAAAACAGCCATTGGATAGCCATAAATATTTCTCGTAATCTTAAGTAGATACAATATTCAATACTTGTCTATGAAAAATACAATTTTCGAAATTGTGACAAGGAGTTAACACATCATTCCTTCTTTCTTGATATCCAAACACACGTATCTTTTTTTTAGTAATGTATTTACCTTTAGTTAATCCAGTTTATTCCTTATTGTCTTTTATTTGCATTCATAGAGTAGTTCTGGTATTGTTATTCTCCTTTACAGTGTTTGCAACATATCTCTTCTTATAAAACAGATCATTTGTCGAAAGACATCTTCCTATGATACAACAATGTATATGAAATGTCAACCCTAGAAAAAAATCTCGATTATTTGCCGAAACAGATACCATTCCACTTGCGATAAAAGTAGTGAGATTCTAAACACTATGTTTTACGTATCACACATGTTGTACATGTACTCAGCTACAACAAAATAGTATAATACACATTAAATGCAATGTTAGCCAGCACAGAACCATGTTTTTCGTTAAAGTTAGAGTTATATCCAAGATGTCAACTTGTTTTGAAATGTTTTGAAGATGTATATGAGTTATCTAGTTGAAGTAGAATTATTTTTGTAATATTCAAAGTTACTACACGGAAAGGTTTTTCCGATTTTAATTTAAATTTCTGTTTCAAGAAAAGAAAACTTGACAAGCATTTAACTTGACATGTTGTTCTCTATGTAAATTGAAGTTCCTGACTAACGTCTTGGCTTGTTTTGCTTGTTCATAGAGTAGTTCTGGTATTGTTATCCTCCTTTACAGTGTTTCCAACATATCTCTTCTTATAAAACATATCATTTGTAGATAGACATCTTTCGATAATACAACACTCAATATAAAATGTCAATCCCAGAAGAAAAGCTCGATTATTTGCCGAAACAGATACCATTGGACATAAAAGTGGAAATTGTGATGAAAATTATATGAATGGGTCACCGAAAATATGAGAAAGACACCAGGTCTTCGCGAAAAAGATAAAACCGTCTTATCTTTGTGCTTGATAGATATTTAAATGATGTCTTGTTGATGATTTTCCATATATTTTCATATAAAAGTATTTTTAATCGTTTGTTTTGTTCTTAAGTTCTAATGTAAACTGTTTACGATGAGTCAATAATATATTAGCAGTTTCAAAGCTCGTGCATTCCATAAACTTCAAATACAGTCATTTTCTGTAAGGTACGTGCATATACCCCTCGGTGATTACGGGTTAGAACAAGGCCCCATCCAACAACTTAATGCTTGTCACAAAAAGAGGCTTCGATCCCTGAGTGCGTGGATGTTGCACATATCAATCACTGGCTTCTGCCCGATATTTTTCTTGGATAAAACCTCCACACCATTTGACTTTGGTTTGCAAGTCAGTTGAGACGGTCATGTATGAAAATGTTCTTCATCGGGTAGTTGATGCCGTTTGTAACAAAGTTTAATTCCACTTGCGACAAAAGTAGTGATATTCTAAACACTATGTTGTACGTATCACACATGTTGTATATATCCGCAGCTACAACAAAACAGCATAATACACATTAAATGCAATGTCAGCCAGCACAGGAACATGTTTTTCGTTAAAAGTTAGAGTTATATCCAAGATGTCAACTTGTTAGGAAAAGTTTGGAAGATGTATATGAGTTATCTAGTTGAAGTAGATTTTTTTTTTTGAGCACAACTATTTGTCGCAGGTTTTCTCGGCTCTGAACGGTAACTTTAAGTACCGACCTTGTGTCTGAGAAACATCCTCATCACTAAACAGATAGTCGGACGTTAAATGTGAAAAAACCCACTGCGTGTTTAAATTGCACAGGTGTTTCAATCATTCTACAACACGTCTTAAAACACAGCTTGATTGATTATGCAGGAAATACCAGATTGTTTGGAGAGAAGATTTCAGGGATAACACGCTTAAGAGTGGCTACTCGTGAAAAGAGAGACGAAATCTATTACTGGCTTGTGTTGTTTTAAATCTCAGATGTGAAGACATTATTCTGTTGATATTGTTAACTTAATACTGTATCTTTAACTATAGGGGAACGGGTGGCCCAGTCGTGTAAGGCAACGCAATTCAATTTGGAGAGTTTTGTACTTTGGGCACGCCAGACACCTATGATCGTGGATTTGATCCTAGTTCTCCCCGATTATGTGTCTAAGTTTGTCAGCACCATATCCGTTCTCGTGAATTTCACCAAACTGGTAAACGTATGAAACCTGCATCGCTTCGGGCTTTCCTCCCACATTAAGCTAACACGCCGTGATATAACTTGAATACCGCTTAAAGCGGTGTTAACGCGTTAATTTTATAAGTACAGAACATCTCGTGCTCGCAGTTTTTCTCAAACAGTAAAAGGGAAATTTGCCTAGGCGTTGACACTAAAACAAGACCTTACTTATATCCCGTCGACATGGATAGGATGGTTTATTACAGGCGTTTTTTTAAATGTAAACAGTATATTGAGAAAATGTTTCTGTCTACCTTTATAGATGATTTGTCTCTTGTGCCAAGCAACATGTGTCTCAACAGGTGTCTATAATAATGATTACATCCCTGATGAAGACTGATTGGAAACATTTGATAGATATTAATAATTATAGCTTTAGGCAGAATTGCAGATGGTATTGTTTATGAAAATGTCACTTTAAATATACTTAAATATGCGCCAATATTGTCTGAAAACTCTTTGTTGAATTAATCTTACATCCCTGATGAAGACTGATTGGAAACATTTGATAGATATTAATAATTATAGCTTAAGGCAGAATTGCAGATGGTATTGTTTATGAAAATGTCACTTTAAATATACTTAAATATGCGCCAATATTGTCTGAAAACTCTTTGTTTAATTAAACTTAGTTGAAAACATGAAACGAAAGTGTATTGCTTTCCGATCCGATGCAAAGAACACAGATGTCGCCATTTTGATAAATTACTTGTTTTAGTGTAAATATACCACCTGCAGTTTAGA